GTTTTTATGTGATAAAACGTAAGTTTTATCAGTCCTATATAAATATACAAGGTGATATACCTCTTCTTTCTCAATTTCATTTAAGGCTTTTTGAAGACCTTCCTCGCTGGACACGTCGTATTTTTCTAATAGCAATGATAAAGCCATTGTATTGTTTGTACACAACTTATTTCTTATTCTTATACAATTTGACCAGCATTTGATTCGATAATTAACATTTAATGTCACTGTCAAATTGACACGGTTTGTTTTGCCAGGTAATATTAATCAGCTGGTGAAACTTTTATTTGTGCAGGTTTACACTTAATTAATAAACCTATTAGAAAAGAAAAACGAAAAACGTTAAAAACAGGAAGTAATCATAAAAGTCTAGATTTTACTTACACGATTACTTACTTAGTTTTTAGATTTTTTATTTTTAATGTTATCATTATTTAGCATATTGCAACACGGTAACATGACATTTACCCAAAAGTTCGTTCTGAATCTTAATACAATTTCTGTGAATTTAATTAAATAAACAATTTGAAGTAATATAATACAAAACTTTGGTGGTGCTAAAGATTGTTCAGTAATATCTTGTTACTTGTTAAGTTTTATTTTATAAAATGATTAATGTTTTATAACGTCATTTCGTCATCCAAAGTTTTGAATGTTACTAAAAAAAGTAGTGAAGTATGATGTCTAAACCTGTGTAACAGTAAACATAAAATTTTTGTGTTTAAAAAATCGATGTGTGTTCAACAAATTAACGTTTGACCTCAGGGCGCTAAATAATTATTTCGCGCTCCTTTGAGGATAATTCCTGTCGTTTTGTTCATATTAATTCTCAAAGGTAAGAGAGGGCAGGGTGCAGTGACATTAGCATACATACATTATCGAATGTAACAAACATTTAGTTTTACCTCGAAATGTGTGACCTCCTCTATAACATTTCAACATTACTCTTACATTGAGAGGAATGATGGCTAGAGGCCATAGTTAGGCTAGCGATTTGCTTATTGTGTTTTTATCGAATTTATGTTGTTGATGGTGAATGCTTGGTCGTAGATTGACTCCGTGTGGGGTTGGGCTTCGCCCCCGCTGCGGTTGCAGCTGGGAAACTCGCGCGGACACAAGAGGTAAAAAAAAAGTAGTTTTGTGGACACAAGTGAGACTTGGTTGTACGGCAAGTTGTGCAACTGTTTGAGCAATACCAGTTATACCATTATATCAGTTAACCTACGATTTCATATTTATTTTGCTTAATACAAATTGTTTGAACTTGTTTAAACCAACTGACTCATTTTTTTATATACAATGTAAAATTTTGAATTAAGTCATTTTGATAGTCTTTACATAGAATCGCTTTCGATTTTGGACTCGAGGCCTTTGCCTGATTATAAAATATAAAGTAAAATATGTCACAGAAAATTTTCAACTCGGTTAAAGTAAATTATTTATAAGTTGAAATTTATAATGTGTGTTTCGATATACTTTACGGTCCGAAGATACCCACAAGAATTGGTTCTCCAGTTTCCACCTTCATTTAAAGTTAAATAGAAAAATCTAAAGCCTTTTTAAGTAGTATGCAAACTATGTTAATAAATATACAATATATAATGATTGTTTAAAGTTTAATTCTGAGGATGAGAGTGGCTTGGCAAGCAAATTTCATGTTATGTTTAACTGTCACTATGTTATGGTAAAGCATATTAAATAGTGACACTTGTTTGAATGTCACATTCAGTTCATCACATTTGTTATTGAAATTGCAAGATAATTTGAATAGTTTGTACTTGATGTGTCAGGCATTATTTTAAGCCTAGAAATAAATACAAAAAAATTAAGCAAAAAGTTCATGTTTTCAAACAATTTATGTGACAAACTTATTTTTTAAGCTTCCCTGCAAACTAAGTAGATACATAATGTTAATAGACCTCCAGCCAGTAATGTAATATACATAAAGTATGGTCAAGCCTTTGAAAGTCATTTTTAATTATGTATTCTAAAGCTTATGTTCATTTTACATATTGTGTAGTGGGAACTTCAAAATATGTTCAAAAATGTCATAGAAAGGGTTAGTAGATCAAAGAGGATGTTTGGTGACATATTGCTGCAATGAGATTTATAAATACATAATGTCATTAATTTTGTGACAAACAAGAGTGTTACAAGTGTGACTGCAGTGATGTGATGTATCAGGATGGGGGAGGGCGGGGGCTCGCCGGGCGGCGGTGCGCGGCTGTCGCACACGTCGGAGAAGCACCCGCGCGCCATCCTCGGCGAGCTGTCGGCGCTGCGCCGCCACCGCGAGCTCTGCGATGTCGTCCTCAATGTCGCCAACAGAAAGTTATTTGCACACAGGTTGGCTACGCACACCTTTATTCCATGTTATTGCTGGCAAACTCCTCAGTTGTACAATTAAAATTTCAAATGGTTTCAAGTACATTTAAATAAGGTACAACATTTTGTCTAAAGACGTCTTGGAAAAGGGGAAACTATATAACTCATATCTGTATGGCTAAAATTTATTATAATTATTCAATATTATTTCTTATTCTATTATCAGTAAAAAATATTTTACATTATTTAGTATTTTATTACATTTAATGCTTTCATTCAATTTACATAATGGAGGTCATGTAAAATGGTTGAGGTAATTGTTGTTATTTTATCATTTCATTACATTTACATCTGCAACAGCCGACAAGTGTGAGATGACCTTTACATTTGAAATTGCCTCTAATTACTTCCCCTCCGTCCACAATACTCATAACATAAGTTAAGCAAACGCTATCGTCCTTGATGATGATAATATGTGTTGTGTGTGTGTGCAGAGTGATCTTGTCGGCGTGCAGCCCGTACTTCCGCGCGATGTTCACGGGCGAGCTGGCGGAGTCGCGCGCCACCGAGGTCACCATCCGCGACGTGGACGAGCAGGCCATGGAGCAGCTCGTTGAGTTCTGCTACACTGCACACATTGTTGTCGAGGAGAGCAACGTGCAGGTGACCACCCCAGCATTGCTCTCCACTTCCCCCGCTGCCGTCTATTGTGGTGTTTAACAATTGCCGAACCTTGGAGACAAGACTGCAAGACCGAGGTGTCGAAAAAATTTATGGAAAGAGTCCATAACTTTTGTTTTTCGTCGCATGTAGGCGCTGCTGCCGGCGGCGTGCCTGCTGCAGCTGCAGGAGATCCAGGACGTGTGCTGCGAGTTCCTCAAGCGGCAGCTCGACTGCTCCAACTGCCTCGGCATCCGCGCCTTCGCCGACACCCACTCCTGCCGCGAGCTCCTGCGCATCGCTGACAAGTTCACGCAGCAGAACTTTCCAGAGGTTTGCCTCACATCTCGCACACCGTAAACCCTGGCCCTCATCTAATATACTTTGGATGTACTACAAGAAAGCACGCGACTTCTTCATAACTTTTATGTTATTTTTGGGACTTATTCATGTGGTAATATTTCATTCCAATCGCTAAATATTGTGGTACCCGTGCAGGTGATGGAGAGCGAGGAGTTCCTGCTGCTGCCGGCGGCGCAGCTGATCGACATCGTGTCCTCGGACGAGCTGAACGTGCGCTCGGAGGAGCAGACCTTCCAGGCCGTCATGTCCTGGGTCAAATACAACGTCGCCGAGCGCCGCCAGCACCTCGCGCAGGTCCGCCGCCGCGCCGCCCGCCGCCCGCCGCCGCCGCCGCCGCTCTCCGCTATGTCTCTGATAACAGATCACATCACCTGCAGGTGCTACAACACGTGCGTCTCCCGCTGCTGAGCCCCAAGTTCCTGGTGGGCACGGTGTCCTCCGAGCTGCTCATCCGTTCCGACGACGCCTGCCGCGACCTTCTCGACGAGGCCAAGAACTACCTGCTGCTGCCACAGGAGCGCCCGCTCATGCAGGGACCCCGCACAAGGCCCAGGAAGCCCAGCAGACGAGGTGAATACAATATCGCTCCGGAGTGAGCGAGCAAAGTTGAAACTAGTGATCCGTGTTGTGAAATGGAAATGTAAATGTGACCTTGCAACTTGCAACTTGCAGGCGAGGTGCTGTTCGCGGTGGGCGGGTGGTGCTCGGGCGACGCGATAGCCTCCGTGGAGCGGTTCGATCCTCAGAGCGCCGAGTGGAAGATGGTGGCGCCGATGTCGAAGCGGCGCTGCGGTGTGGGCGTGGCCGTGCTGCACGAGCTGCTGTACGCGGTGGGCGGCCACGACGGACAGAGCTACCTCAACAGCATCGAGCGCTACGACCCCCAGACCAACCAGGTACGTGACCTCCGCACACCCCGGACATCACTCCGGGGACTGCGGAGACCTCGTCGACCGTCGTAACCGCGCCATGTTGTGCGTGTGCAGTGGTGCGGGGCGGTGGCGCCCACCTCCTCGTGCCGCACATCGGTGGGCGTGGCGGTGCTGGACGGCGCGCTGTACGCGGTGGGCGGGCAGGACGGCGTGCAGTGCCTCAACCACGTCGAGCGCTACGACCCCAAGGAGAACCGGTGGACCAAGGTACGTCGTGGCCCTGGCACCGCCGCGTCAAGGTGAGGAGGAGGGGGAGGTGGTGGGCGGTGGGTAACGTGGTAGAGGCGAGCGCAGGTGGCGTCGATGACGACGCGGCGGCTGGGCGTGGCGGTGGCGGTGCTGGGCGGGCACCTGTACGCGGTGGGCGGGTCGGACGGGCAGGCGCCGCTCAACTCGGTGGAGCGGTACGAGCCGCGCGCCAACAAGTGGACGCCGGTAGCGCCCATGTCCACGCGCCGCAAGCACCTCGGCTGCGCCGTCTACGACGGACAGATCTACGCCGTCGGCGGACGCGACGACTGCACCGAGCTCTCCTCCGCCGAGAGGTAAGCAGCGGGTGTGAGGCTCCTCCCAGTGAGTGCGGGGTGCGACGTGTGACATGTGTGTGTGCTTGTGGCGCAGGTACGAGCCGGCGACGGACACGTGGTCTCCTGTGGTGGCGATGACGTCGCGGCGCAGCGGGGTGGGCCTCGCCGTCGTCAACGGACAGCTGTACGCCGTCGGCGGCTTCGACGGCACCGCCTACCTCAAGTCCATAGAGGTAACGTCTCACCGCCTGCGGATGTTCTACCTTTCGTATGTGTCGTGTGATGCCATGTTGTACTGTTGTATCTTTGTGATGTCGGACAGGTGTTCGACCCCGAGTCGAACCAGTGGCGGCTGTGCGGCGCCATGAACTACCGCCGGCTGGGCGGCGGCGTCGGCGTCATGCGCGCCCCCCACCACGACAACCACTACATATGGTGAGCGCGCGACACCCCGCACACACCCCGCACACACCCCGCACACACCCCGCACACACCCCGCACTCACCCCGCACACCCCGCACACGACAAAACAGCATACAATAATGACGACCACGCCAACCCATGAAGAAAGTTACATCTTTGCTAATAGTAATAACTTTATAATTTAGCAATGACTGATATTTTGTTACAGGAACCGCAAAGACTCGGTGGTGTGAGGCGACCCCGCGCCCCGCACCCCGCACCCCGCACCCCGCACCCCGCACCCCTCGCTCTAAGTCGTTAAACATTTTATTTTATTTTATTGTTAAATCTATATTATATTAATTGACTATTTATAAATAAATAAAATACAAATTTTAGAATATTTATTTAGCCATTTTATTTAGCTCCTTTCCTTTTAAAACAAACAACAAAGTAGAGAGGTTAGGTAACAGTCAAAGTCAGGTGTGCAAAGTAAGTTGTATTTATAATTTATCATATTACGAATACATTACTTTTCGAAGTTAAAACGTTTAGGGTTTAAATAAAGACAGAATAGCGCTACAACTTACTCATATTTTATTCAAATAGAGTTGTGGTTTAACTTAAAAAAGCATGATTCAAGTAACGAGGGGCGGCGGCGAAGTCGCCTTGTCCGCCACCAGCGTCTCCTCCTCCTCCGCCTCGTCTCCCTCCGCCTCCTCGCCCTCCGCCTCCACCTCCACCTCTCCTTCGCCCTCGCCATCCTCGGTCTCCCGACTGCCGTCGTCCTCTCCGGTCACCTCCGCATCTTCTGCGGCCTCCGGAGCCGCGTCTCTGTTGTCATCTTCATCCTTCACCTCTTGCCGCTTCTAAAATAAATTTTATTTTATTTAGATTAAGTTTGTAGCACCGTCATGCTGCTTCGTATATGCTAGCGTTTAACTTCAGTCCCACAAATGTTTGGTCGAGCAGAGAGAATGAACTAGTGTTGAGTTACCTAGTACGGAACAAACCTTCTTCTTTTTCTTGGCTTTGGCCTTGGGCTTGGGTTGGGTCTGGCTGTAGCCGGGCGGGAAGAAGCGGGAACACTCTAGCTCCCCCATCACTGTGTCGGCGCTGACGTGCAGCGGGCCCAGGGCCAAAAGGTCGGGGGGCGGGCCGTCAGGCGCGGGCGCGGCCGGGTCCGCCAGCAGGGGGTCCGCCACGCCCACCGCCACCATTAACACGATAGTTTCGCAGCTGATACAAAAATAAGGAATGAGTTTACATAATTCGTCCATCATTTCCAACTTAGGTATAATTTAGGGAACCATGAGAAACCGTTCATTCGAAAAGATAAGTCCCATACTAGTCCTTCTCGGCCCGCTCCTCGTAATGTTCTATAGTCTTGCAGAGCAGCTTCGGCTCCTGTACATTGGCGTCGGCGAAGAAGCCGTAGCGCAGCAGGAGCGGGGCGCTGCGGTCGGCGGCGGCCAGCACCGCACGCCGCTGCCACGCACCGAACACCAACGCCACGTGCGGGGGCTCCGCGCTCACCGGGGGCTCCACCACCGCGCCCACCATCTGAAAACAATGGAACATTCGCACACTACAATTATGCTGTGCCTTTTTTCAAAGTTGACAAAGCGTTTGCAGCGCCCGGAATTTTCATGAGTAAGTAAAATGGGTGGCTCGCTTGTCTTTGATTCATAAACCAATTCAATGTGGAACGTCGTCCAATACCTTGGGAAAGAGCAGGTCGAGGAGGGCCGCGCGCCGATGTCGGTCTTTGGGCGCGTACAATCCGGGTAAGTCGTCCGCGCACAACTCCTGCGCCAGGAATTTTTTTTGCGCTCCCTCTTCTAGGTCCGAGCCCTCCCCGTAAAGAGCGCGACGCGTCAGTTCTGGAAGTCACCGGCTACTTAATTGAGCTAGAATAATTGGCAAAGCTTTCTATGACGCGATCTTTGCAACTGACCGATGACGTCGCCCTCCTTGTCGGGCAGCTTCTTGAGTAACAGCGCGAGTGCGGGTCGCTCCGCCAGCACGGCGGCGGCGCCCGCGGAGCCCATCTCCTCCGCTTCGGCCGCCAGAGCTCGCGCGCCCTGTTGGCCGAGCACCAGCGGGCACTTGTCCGCCACCGCTATGCCTGCACACAACAACACCTTATAGAAATAAATGAACAACAACAGTACCATACAGCAATACTATGTACATTGAGTTGAAATCGAGTAAAGTGTGCAAAATGAGCCGCTCACCGAACGGCTCGAGTGCCTCCGCCACCTTCCTGAGATGTTTTTGTGCGTGCGGCATGAGCAGCGCTGCGCAAAGGTCTGAGAAGTGTCGCTCCAGCCGCGTCGCCCGCGCCTCCCGCCGCGCCGCATGCGCCGCCTCGCGTGCCGCAGCCTCACGCTGTCGCCGCTCCGCCAGCTGCTTCGCCTGCAGATCCGCCGCCTCCTGCACACAGACACACTTTCATCTAGGTAACAATTTAACTATAAAACCACTTGAACATGTGAGCATCTGCGACCTGTTCCGGCGGCGTGAGCTCGTGCGGGGCCCTGCGCGGGCGCTCCAGCTCCCCGCGGCGGGCGAGCTCTTCGTTGTGCAGCTCCTGTTCGATGGTGCGCGCCAGCCGCGGCGCGTCCGCACCGAACACCACATTAAGCAGCTGCCCGCCCTGTAACAAATAACTTCGTATATTTACACTAACAGTTTTTCTTTTACTCTCCCTTTTATTAAGATATAATCAGATGACCTGTGCTAATCAATGTAATGCATCATTTGCTAGTTATATTATTATTATTATTATTAGTACGTTTTGATAATTAAAGTAATTTAATCAAAAGTAATGTGAAGGTTGAAGAAGCAAATAATCATTACACATAATGTGTGCCTGTATACCTACCTATATGAGCACTTGTGGTGAACGACACGGACACGGACGGTATCGACCTAACAGTGGCAAGCGACGGCCGTCTGCAGGTAGTAATATAAAATCATGTAAGCTACACACGCTCGTAACAACCATATTTACATAAAAATAGACACATTGTACATTTTTATATAAATGAGGGGTCAAGGTGCAGCGGGATCTTTAATGAAAAGTGGTCACCGACGCCTATGGACATACTCAAAACCAGCGGAACCGCAGATGCCTTCAAGTAATTTCCTAGTAGTACCTATTAAGCAGAGGATATAAAAATTAATATAATATAAAAATTAAAAAACTCTACCGCAATGAAGAGCCAGGTGGGCTCGCTGCGATGTCGGAACCTCTTCAGGCACTCGATGGTGTCTGACTTCGCCTGTAATTGTAAATTAATACTAACTTAGATCGCCTTTATGTTAAAGTAGCAAAAGACTTATTCGGCGATACACGTTGAAATCAATACATTGCGCGGTCTACAATTTTATCACCAGTAAAAAAGACGATATTTCTTTATAATTGTTTCAGTGAGAACGTTCCCTTAGTGTTAAGTCGGATAATAGTAGTGTAGCGTGCAGTGCAGCTGACAATGATAATGATCGGCATCAGAGTCGCTGTAAAACTTCGTTAGGAACGCCTCAACTTGTTTATAACAAACATTTGTTACAGAAATTGTTTGTGCTCTAGTTCGTTAATTTATTTCGTTTAGCTAAAATGAAAAAGGACTGCCGTAGCAGTTTACTGTATATGATCAGAAGCTACAACTAAATAAAAGTATAGAATGAATTGTTCTCACGACAGCAAGGTGGAGGTTGTCTCCGCCGAGCTCGACCTTGATCTTCTTGAGATTGCCCACCATTCCCAGGCAGGGGCCGCACCACTCCGAGTACACGTCGACCACTGCACACACGTTACTGCCAATCAGGGGCTAATCGAAGTTTTAACTACAACTAATACTTTATTAACTTATAAGGCTTCACAAAACGCAGACCTATCATTGTTAAGTTGAAGGGGATTGGTAGTCAATTGACATTATAAGGCGATAGTTTGCCTATTTTGTACCAGAATAAAAAAAACGCGTACCTAGTAGACCATCTCTTTGTAGGAACTTGTTCCAGTCGTCGTCATTGTTGAGATCCGCCTGCAGCTGTACCTGCGCTGCTTTCTTGCCTGCACCCGCAGCGGCGGAGGTGGCCGGGCCGGTGGTGGAGTGATGTGCGACCGCAGGCGAGAGCGACATAGGGCACAGTGTCAGCACCACACCGTAACCACAGTCGGCCCCGCGATGCGCGATACATGCGAGGGTCGATGTAGAGTTGTGACGGGGACGGGATAGAGGCGGCAACACAAATTGGTTCAGTTTTAGTATACATATATATTTATACATACATGAGAAAACAAACATTAAACATTAACATTTTAAACAAGGAGTAAAGATCTACTCTTAAGCACTACTTGCTTGCTTGTAGTCACAAACGTGATACCTTTTGGTGTGTAACTAGAAGTGCCAAAGAGCTAACATTACTAAGTTATAATAGAAAATGTACCAAGTTCTTTCATAAATGAAATAAAGTATATCTCGTATCTGAAGTTGACTAAACTCTACAACTTTATTTTCATTGCGTGTCTGCTAAAGCACTAATGTCGTAGGTTTTGAACAATACCTTATAGCATCGTTCATAAACTTATGAAGTAGCGGACTTTGAATTTTAGCGAATAGCGAATTTTTATGGTTAACATTGATATTATATCAACTTAACATTGGTTATTAGCACAAAAAAATAATGTTAATTATAAAAGTTGATCCAAAGTGAAAATAGCGCCATCTGTTACTAATATTCCACTTTATTCAAGAAAATATAACTTTTTGATACTAGATGGCATCCATGTTCTGAAAGAAGAAAAAAATAATTCTAAAATTTAACAATAGATGGCGACTATAAAAATAAGATTTGTAGTTTAATAACACTTTACGCACCACACCACAACTACACTCTATCTACTAAAACATTGTTTTTCTAGTATTCCAAGTGTGAATTTTGCCTATTTAAATCTTTCGAAAAAGCTCTAGAGTACACATTGTTAAAACCAAATATTATCGTAACGTAGTAGTACGTGGGTGGGTGATGGACATTTCACATTAACATTCAGACTGAGGAAGTTTACGCATTGTTTGTCATCAATACGATAGATAGGGCTATAACTTGTCGGCATTAGACAACAATATCCTCATCGATCATCCGCATTCACGTGATATAGCCATTTTTTAGCAACCTCATAACATCCGAGTTTTTGCGGAATTGAGCATCGGCATGGCAAGTCGTAGCCCGCAGTTTATGACGCAACTTAGTGAATTAACGAACAGCCGCGGAATATAGTCTCTGTAATAGAGTCTTCATTGCGAGGGTTAGTAATCCCCTCAGCGTCTGCCTTTTAAGTTTGCCTTTAATATCGCTCAACATTTACCTTTTATTTCTTTACTGAATATTCAGTATAATATATTTTTTTAATCCTACTATATTTTAATCAACATTTTGTTATATATATAACATTTAATATGTTAGATAAACAGAGATTATGTGTACGTACATATAATATGTGACCGTAAGCCTTTTAGGGGACCTATGTGAAGTCAATAGCCCGTTTAAGCGCTAAGAGCGTAAGGGTGGGTCCCTAAATCATAGCTGGCAAGACAAATAATATTTTATTGCTTCTTTTTATTCAATGCTGCGCATGCAGTAGTAACGCATTTATACTTTCAAATAGCATAGAGTTTTTCATTATTTACTATTAAGATGCAATTACATTGTTGTTATATGTGGAAGAGACGAAATGAATGGGTACATTTCTGGGATAAGATTTTAAGTTAGGAAGTCCTTAACGGTTAAAATAAAATAAGAATGCCTAATTTTTTTATTACGTGGCTAGTCAAGTTCAGCGACCGTGCCTGACATTTCACAGTGAAACTGGAGACCTACCCCGAGGATGCGGAACTAAACTTAGTCGATTATTTCCCGAAGCAAGCGTTAACTAAGTTCAGCCTTTGATGGAAATCTAATTATGAACGTACAAAATTTTGATTATACTTCATTGGTCGCCAGATAAATTTAAAAAAAAAGTTTTGTTCTCCTGTTTTCTTATATCTAACCAAAGTTTCGATCTGTTTTAACTTCCTTGCGACTTCAAGAGCTTTACCCTCGCGCCCAAACCGTTTACCAACAATATGCAAATCGAACGAAATCTTGTTATTGTTTCGTTTAGTTAAAATTGCATTTGTTCGTATGAAATTGCATTCGCAATATGATATGAAATTTCTCGCTGTACTGTAAAAATCTCGCGAAAAATGATCGCGATGATTTGTACAGTTGAAAATGTTCGTTTTATTAGATTTCAATTTGTAGTAATTATTAGTTAGTGCAGTTTGTTTTATTAAAAGGGTTTCAAAATATATAAAAAATTAAAATTCATATTTAGTTTAGTTATTTTTAATTTTAAAATTCATTTTTCTTAAGAAAAGAAGTACTTGGTTTAAGTCAGACATTGACAGTATTCATTCCCTCCTGGTTCATCATTAAGTGAAAGTTGCGTGACATAAACCTATTAAATGATCACGACAATACCAATTTAATTAAAATAATACAGCGACATAAAATGTCGATGTTTTACGTCAGCACTGGATTGTCATTTATATTTTACGATAACTGGTAAAAATTATTTTTCAGTTAAATATAGATTTTTATTGATTTTTGAATTAACTTCTATAGATCAAATGTATGTCAACATAAGCACAGCAACATGTTGTGAAACATCAACAAACATTGATTGTAAGCACTCATCTGTCGCTGTTATATCGTGTTTGCTTATTAAATACAATATTTGCAGTGATTCGCTTCACTCTGAGTGTCGACGAACGTTCGCTTCCATGATTGTGTGTAGAATGTAAACAGCGGCACGAGACGCAAATCTATTATTTATTATTTGCTAATATATCATATTTAAATACTCGAAATCACTAGTTTATTGTAATATAAACTTAAATTATGTTATGAGGACGTATTGTACGCAATTACTAGAGGTCGGTACTATCCTTTGGTGAATTTTGTTAATTATCCTTTTAAACATAAAATAAGCTTAATGATATAAATCGTTTTATTAGAAACCGTAAACAGTTGAGTATTTAGGGGTGTGAATAATTAAAAGTCGCGTTAACTGTGTAACGAGGTCCCGGGGGTGAAGGGCGCGGTGTGGGGGCGGCGGCGAGGTGCGGGAACAATCCCGGATTATTTAATACTGCGCACAGGTCTCGGGGAATCATTCACAGGATCTCCTCTCCGGTAGTGTCACTGAAATATATCCAAGCAAGGCCTCCAAGTATCTCAGAACAATCACAGTGTTAATAAATTTTTTCTCTCGCCCTTTTGTTCTACTTACTTTGTTTTCCTTTTTAATTATCATCAAATTACCGTTAGTTAAATTGCTATGGGGATGAATTTTCTCAGTTTCTTATTTCGCCTTTCTTAACTTAAGTAAACAAATCTGAAGTTACATCTACTCCTTTAAAATAAATTAATTTTGGGTCCCTTTAAGAAATTGAAAAAATACAACAGATTAAACAGTAAATTTGAAAGTTCCATTTCTTACTTACTTTAAAATATTTCTTATCCAACATTATTAACAGTTGACAAAAACCAAATAAAAGGTGTCATTACATCCGTTGAATCCAGGTGTTTCGCTATATTTGTACCATTAGTTCATTGAACTGACGTTAAATGTATAATTTGCTAAACCACAATAGAAATAATCTACGCAACTCTATTCATTTGTTCAAATATCTATTTAGGTCATAAATGTAAGCTAGCAAAAGTTTTAAAGCTATTTAAGTAATAGTTTATTATATTATTACTAGCTGTCGCCCGCGACTTCCTCAGCACGGAATTAAAAAAAAAACGTAATTAGCTTATATTTCCGTGTCCATCAGCTACCTTTCCGTTCCGTCTAATTCAGTCCTACCGTTCCGGAGATTACCCGTAACAAATGTGCCCTTGCAGATTCACAGACAGACACAGAAAATGTGAAAAACATTATGACTATTTAGTTTTACACCCTCTTACAAGCAAGCAGCATGATAAGCCTATATTATTATATTATATACTATTAGCTAGATGTACAATGTTAAATCTAACATATAATTATTAGCGTTGAAATGCACGTGAGATAATAAAAAGAATAACTTACGAGACAGCCTCATATCTTAGATCTCGTTGACAACTTGAAGTTTTCTTACTTTTCTTGTCAATACATCTTTCTTTATACACAAATGACTGATATTTTATTATTTTAAGACGTTTTTATTATCTACTTAAACTTTGATTTGCATCACAAAATTAATTTTGAGTACATGTTTAATAAGAGTTAAATCTTCTTCGTCGTTTTACACAATTTTATATTATTTTAAGAAGTATCACTAAATCACAAATAATTATTGTTTATAGTTAATATTTTAAGATACACAAGTTCGGAACCTTCATAACTTTCCGCTACGAAAGCTCAAAGTGTATTAAATGTAGCATAGCTTTCGCGCTACGATAACTGCTACGTAGCAAGGTGTAACTCTACGAATAGGACGTAAGGCTGCGGCGGCGTTGGTGGTAGTCCTGTACGGGACTGACAACGGGCCTTGTTCAGGGGCCTCGCTGCTCAATTAGGCGGCTCCGGGCCCCAGTCTTAAGTCACGCGATCGACTCTCACGGATTTCATTTTAACAGACTGTCGTAAAAAACGTAATTTTTTTACGGTGATGTATTAATGCAGTTGTGGTTTCTGATTTAGTTTTTTGTTTTGGTATTTTTGTTGTGTCTCTTTAAATTGTTTCGTGACATGCAAATGGTATTATGTTATGTCTTTTATGTTTAACGTTTCCTAAACATCTATTTAATTCAGTAGGTAAATCGAATAAAGGGTAGCAGATTTTTACCTGACAGACAAGAGGGTAAAGGTTCTCCTGTCCGGTCTTTAATCAATTGTATTGTGAATAATGTCCTAGTTTTAAGTACTGATAAAACAAAAGCGGGCAGTATGGAACGCATGAATCAGAACAGAGTGATGAGCTGCGTCACCCTACATGGTAACATGATAGCTTCCGGTCTTTGTGCGCTCTCCGTGTGCGACGACTTGACAATTGTATGCCAATGTTTCTACTACACTAAACTACCTACTTAATATAAATACTAACGTTAACGATATTCAATTAATTCGAGACATGTTAACGTTTATTCCTTTCTGATTTATTTAGTTATTTGATTGAAAACATCGAACAGTAAATAGAAAAACAGCTATAAAATAAACGAAGCGTCTTTTGACATTAAAATGAAATTTAAATATGAAAATGCGCGCAGAAAAATGTACTATTGTTGTTTTACGATGATCATATTATATTCTGAAAATGAGAGACAGTGACAGTATTCATGTTTTTTTCCTCTTTTTTTTATAGAATATCTTTTGTCATATTGTTCGTAGCAAATATTTTATAATGTTTTATCATTTGTTTGCTTAAAAGTTATCTTCCTAAAATAATTGTAGACGAAATATTGTTACCAGAGAGATTTCCTATCTAGTACAACCTACAGAATAAAGTATTCTGCAACGGAAAGTTGTAACTAAAACTTAAAAACTGTTCAGTCTTCTCTCCTCCCAGGTATATGTAACTGTTCAGTACAGGACTGGCTGTCAAAATCTTTTGTTTATACAATTCCAAATAAAGAACACGACGACCTTTATACGACGACAAATGACAGAACTTATCTTTTCTTTGTATAACAAGACAAGGACGTCGCTTCAATTAAAAATTTGCTTAGGAGCGCGGATCAAAGGATTTTAAGTAATTTCCAAGTTAAATAAAAGTCCGCCATGTCAAACACGAACGTCGCCTCCCGGGTACGGAGGCTACAGGTCTCAAACATACGCCGGGCCCGAGGGCACGAGGTAAAGCGTGTCGTCCACCGTGACTGTGGCGATACAAACGCGATACATATGCACATTGATAAAGGGGCCACAGAGAGTATTCTCATTGGTTCCGAGTTTTCCCGGCTGCAATAGAAGTAGTGATTAAACAATAGATCAGACGTACGTTCACAAAACGAGCGTTATCTTGACAATAAAAAGTTGACGTTGGATAACCGGCCTTATACAAAAAGGTTTAGATACTCTTTGGAATATTATATTTAATTACCTTTGTACGCAGCGCTGTGGGTGAGGCGCAGGTAATTGCGGAGCGGTGCGGTGGCGGTATCGGTGTACAGGGAGTGCTGTTCATTTGCCTTTCTTTTGTTTCATGTTTAGCGATTAACATAAAACAAATAACATACACGTAATAAATTAAACAATGTATTTAATTATAGAAAGATAAGCATCAAATGACTTAAAGCAAATATGCTTAAATACTATTTAAAAGTAAGTCTCACAGACCTTGTAAAAACCTCCTCTATGCTTTATACGCACATGCTTTAAAATAATTGACGATGGAAAATTAATAAGTATTGCTACGACTTCAATCTTACTCCTTATTATTCTTTACTGGATGGTATTTAAGCAATAAATCGTATTAATATTATTTGTCTATCAAACTTGGATATTGTCACATATGTAAAACAATACAAGATACAAAACCAGCAGATTATTCTGATCGAATTCAACACCTCCACAATACATAGCTATCCAGAATAAAAACGACGTCGTATACGGAATATCGGATGTATTCCATCCTCTCATTCCTTCATGATTTGAACGAGTTATTGGATGTCGCCGCGGAATAAGAAATGTGAAGCGCCGCAAGAAAGTTGAGATGCGTCGCGATGCTGTTTTATTTGCATAAATATACTGAATATAATATTTACCATTGCGACTTCCCATACAATCCTATAGTATGTGAGGTGTAAGGAATAAATGTAAACAGCGTTCTTGTATTTATTATAGTATAATTATCAGATGTTTTACATTAAGCTACTTATTTCATATCACTAACCCAAAAAAAATATATCAGTCTTAGAAGAATTTTCAATATAATGAAATGAGGAAAAACCGACAAAAAATACAAAAATCGACTAACTCATAAACTTACAACTAAAATTATTTTACAAAAAATATATAATGCCAATATATAGTATAATAGAATTTGAGTTAAACCTTGACTATGTCCTACACCTCAATACAAACAAACAGTAATAATTTCAATCATGCAAACATTAATTATATAACAAAATTATTTATATTGAGTGTAACACATTACTACCAATACTAAGTATCAAATTATTTCTAAATAATAAGACCTTTTGATGAGTTTATTAATACATCTTGTTCCTTTTTAATATATCAAATATAAACAATCAAGTATTAGTTCAGACTAAGCAACTGAACAACGGGCGTTGGTGGCTCAGTGGTCAAGCACTTGACTTGCAATCTGCAGGTCCTTGGTTCAAATCCCGTCATATACCAATGTGTTTTTCGATTTCAGATTTACATATGTACATATATCCAACGTTCTTACGGTGAAGGAAAATATCGTGATGCAACCTACACATATCTGAGAAGAAATTCAAAGATATGTGTGAAGTCAACCAACCCGCATTTGGCCAGCGTGGTTGACTATGGCCTAATAACCCTTAACTTAGGGTAGGCTACGAGCCCCTCGGTGGGGACATATAGTGAGCTGATGATGATGATGATGAACTGAACAACCATACTTCTTATTATCTTTGGAAAAAGACTGATATGTTTTATACAAGAACTTCGGCATTTAACTAACATCACAATAAAGTTTCGTATAGTTTTATAGTTTAATTCAAGGATGTTTTTCATAATATAATAACTCAACCAGTTATATCAACAACTATTGATATAATTTGTGAGAGACATATTTAATTCGTGTTTATTTAAATTCAGCAATAAATATTTTATCACCATATTTAAAACCTAATTATTTTTAAATTACATTTATAGTGAGTATTTAAAGATTTATTTGTATCTATTGAGTAGTTTAGGAAACGTTAAGATGATGTGATCATATTATACAAGTTGACTCTACATTTTATATGAAATATTAATACAAGAAAAGGTGCTAGGTTTCTGTAATTTTAGTAGTTTTAAAGAGATCAAATAATATGTTATAAATCATCTAAGTATATTTAAAAGCTAACGTTTTTTTTAATCACAATTGAGTTTCCAATGTACTTACTCTACTACGATGTGGCTATGCAATATAATTCGATATGTTTATAGCTAGTATGCATATTTATAACTCTATCCTCAACTAATTTTAATAATAAGTAATTAAAACTCTCACAAGTTGTTCAAATGAAAACCGAACGGTCGATTAATTGGCATGTTTTCAATGTTCTTATCGTAGTTAGTGTCAATGGTAGAGTATGAAGATCGTTCGCGTAATGATATCAGTGCGTGCGCTGCTTCGATGATTAGAGGTCACATACCTCCGCTATCTTCACTCTGCAACAAATAAACTGCATATTAAAATGTATGTGAAATAAAAAATAGCTGCAACGTTTACTCTATGTGTTTTACTCGAGACAATTATATTACCAAAATGTAACATCAGCTAGTCTACTTTTGCACGTGGATGTTCTCCAATGTGTCCCACTATATACATATGTATGGAGAAGGAAAGTATAAGAAACATTGTCTTCCAATTTTAAATGTCACAATGAATGTTTTGAAAGCTTTGTTGATTAATTTTCAAATGATTTTCAACTTTTATCGAATTGGAGTTTAAGTTTTCGATTCTTCGGTCACATCAATTTCTCAAACGTCAGTGTAGGGGGTGGGGAACGGGAGGGGGTAAGTGCACCGAACTTGCCGCCGGAGTGCGGGATAAGTTTTTAAATTATCGATACAGTGTCGCGGCCACTTCCGGACCTAACTTTTCCTTTTTACCCGCTATAGACCCCGATGTTAGATTTTGACGCTTTCTGAACAATGTCAATTACCAGAGAGTTATTTATGTTTCTTTCCAAAATTAAGTTAAAGTTAACATAAATCATTATGCTACTAAAAGCTGAGAAAACTTACAAAAATATTTTATAAAATTGTTCGACTCTACAAAGTTACATTAATCACATACAATTGTGATGCTATAAATATAATTAGTCAGACAACTGCGAGCGTCAACAATAAAAGCGTAACGTAAAATAATAAATTGATTACTGTACGAGTGCGTTCACATGGCTTTTATCACATTATAATATTAATACAATCACAATCAAAAATAAATATATTGTTAACTTAACTTTATTCGAATATTCATTCGAAATAATGGTAAGTGCATAAAATATTATACTAACTTTTGTTCGCGGATTCATCTGCGCGAAATTAAAAAAAAAACGTACTTAGAAGAAGTATTGAGCCTAGTGTTCTTCCAGATTATGTTCTACATCTGTGCAGAATTTTATCGTGATCTGTTATGTCGTTCATAGCCGCTTACAAACATCCATCAATCAAATCTTTCTCATTAATTCTATTAGTAAAAAGTGCAGTGGTCAACTCTTCCCATCTTTAAAATTTGTATTAGTTATTTTACATGATAAATTCAGATTTTGTGAACATAACTATGAAAATCTTGCGAACTAGCTGGTTATAAATAGTGCTGTTGTTCCCTGAACGGGGCCTCCATTTACTTGGTAATTAGTTATGGAGCGGGTTACGAGCGCCGAAATGTCGT